GGGACAGGGATTTTTGGGCTCTTCCCGCAGCTCCTCTGTAATACCAGTTACGCTATTCTATTAACCACTGTTTGTTTATTGTGCGTTTAGAATCATTTTTGGTATTTTTATGTTGTGGAACTCTTCGATCTTGGATTTTTCTATTTTCCTGATTGAGCTCATGCTGTCCGAAATAAGGCTGAAGCTGGTACCTTTCAGCGTGGTGATGTATTCCAGGGCTGCGACAAGGGGGTACATTTCGGTAGTAAAAATAGAGAGTTGACTGCGTAGTGAGATCAATTTTTTGAATATCAGGGATGGGTCGTACACGGCGCAGCCGACCTTTCCATCTATGACCGAGCCGTCCGTGAATACAAAGTGGTGGCTTGATAGCAGTTCGTTTATGTCTGTCAAAAATGTGTGAAGGATATTCTTTGTAATCTGTTAAGTAGAGGGATGTCATTTTAGTGAGGGTCTTAGAATATTCTAGCTGCAACGCGAAGGGTAATTTATTTCTGTACACCAAGGACTCTATAATTTGGTCGTTAACTCTTATTTTGGTTTGCTTGGCTTCCCTGTGTTGGCCCGCTTGTCGCGTTTCGGCATTTTACCATCTTCAATGTTGTGTCTGTGTTACTACTGTTTAGTCAAGTCACTATTGCGAGGTCGTGAGACGTACTAGACGTCCAAAACACAACAAAATAAACCACATATAACCTGAACTTCTTAAACAAAAATATTCAATTTACGGCACAACTAGAAAACAATAGTATAAATTCCATGGACTTACCAACCATAAAACCTGAAAACAAACTAAAATCGACTTACCCCGAAGACTAACAACAACCCACAATCTAATAAATTTATTTATTAAACTAGGCTGCACTAAAGACCACGAACACAATCGGAATTGCTAAAATAAAATATGGATAATGATAAAAATGGAATATTTGCGGCAAATCTATGGGGCAGAAAGAATAAACATGAAAGAAAAACAAAGAACATAAAAGTTCGTTTAGGATCAATGACAAAAAACAAAATATGCGATAAATCTAACAAAAATCATCACGAACAATACAGACAAGCAGGAATTTACTATCCGACATACAACAGTGGCAAAAATATTTGAAAACTTGCAAATAAACAAACACAACATATTTAACATCATTTACACCATACAAAATATTACAATTCAAAAAGATATCAAATAGATAGGAGAGTGCTAAATTCCAGCAACTTAACGACGGACACATTGAAAACCTGCCCCAGCGAGGGTAGAAAGAATGGTAGCGACCAAATTACAGGCTCATTACCTCGCAGACACACGGATAAATCTCACATCCCAGTTTAACTCTATATTACACCAATGAACTTCCTTGTTTTGACGTCTTTCAGATCAAAATATTCTTACTGGTAGTCATGAAAAGTACATAGCTGTTGCTTCGTTTCCTTTATGCCTATGTATATGTGAACCTTGTTGGTTTAATTCTAACATTATTTTCTCGAAGTTTTTGTGGATTTGATATAGGTTCGAATTTTATTTTTTGGGTTCCGCATTTTATCGACGGGTACTCTGCTGTCTAAATGAGTTAATGACGATTTTATGACACCACCTCCAACTGTCAACCAATTTACCCGCTCCAATAAAATGCGATGGCACTGTTGAAGTTTAAATTTAATATAATTTCATTTCACGTATGTTTCAAACTAATGTAATTTGTATGGCTCATTTTATGTGTGCTTTATGTACATATTATGTTGTACCATATTTGAACCAACATTCTCTATAATGATAGTACAGAATGATATTAATTGGTCAAGCGTACCACGAAAACTAGTGAATTTAATGAGTTAAAATAAAGTTTACTTCACTAAAGCTCTCCGTGACTATTTCATTTGTCGCCGAGAATCAAATAGATTACCGACATTTGAAAAATGGCAAAAAGGAGGCAAAATTCAAAAGGTGTGATTGAGATGGGAGGTTAGTGCCCGAGGGGATCGAAGTCACGATAGCTCAAGTGGTAGAGTAGCGGCGTATCAAGCCGAAGGTCGTGGGTTCGAATCCCGCCCGTGACACTGACTTTTTTATTTCAACTAAAAACCTTAATTGAATTCTCTATAATATTGGGTATAGCAGAGAAATTATAATTAAATAATAATAAATAATGTTATTAGTTCTTGGGATATAAAGAGAAACGTTTATCAAATGAAGTTGTACTGCCTTCCAAAATACCAATTTCCCGGTTAAAGTAATAAGTCATCGTTATTAGTTTTATAACTAAGACAAAAATTATCTATATAAAATAGATCTTTGTGTATATTTAGAAAGGATAACAACGTTTGCAGTAATAGTTCGAATAATGTATTACAAAGTAGTAGTAATTGTACATTTTAGTAGGTAAATTCAGGATTTGTATTAAGCAAAGGTGAGATTTATTATCGGGATTACTTCCCAGATAGCACTCTAGATGAAATAATTGAGAAACACTAATTTTTACTGCGTCGGACATAAATCGTCAACAGATTGACGGAAATGGTGAGGTTACTTGGAATTGTGAACTTTATAAATTTATTAATTTCCGTTAGCCGACAAATCCCCGGATAACAACTTTTTGACAGTCGTTTATTTATTACGAATCATGTCATTGTTGGTTTTACAATTGAAGTATATAAATCATAAATTGCATTGGTTCAACAGGGGGAAATAGAAGGATTACTTGAACATTAGAAGTTTATATATTTAATATTTCCCATTAAAACCATAGATAAATACATTTTGAACAGCTCTAGTTTACTATTCAAACCAGTTTAAACTATTGTATCAATTATCATCAACATTAATTAATTTACTGTAAAGTCGTCATTTGAATACAAAAAATATAATAAACTGTTATGTTCAAAAAGGTTTAATTAAATTAATTAAAATTAAATTGGTTCCTTTTTGAATGGGTCCATATTTCCGATCGTCGTAATTATTTAAAAAACACTCGAGATTTGATTTCACTTACAGTTAAAAACAACCAGGAACATATTAATATATTCGTTTTCCTTACCAAATAGAACATAGGACCCGACAGCCCACTATTGCGAAGAAGAACTGGCTTTATGTCGTGTGCCTTGCCTATTCGCTCCCTGCAAGGACCCAAGTTGTAGCACTTCTGGAGCAAGTGTGATTTTATTTTAATTGTGTGTATTAAGACGATGCCCATTTCTATTGTACAAATCTTTTCTATAACAATAAAGCATCATAAAAATATTAAAACTTTATAACATTTATTAAAAGGATTCATAGCCAACCAACTGTATAATTAAAGCAATATCGACTAAAAATTTGTACATGTTTATTCAAAGCTAAATTTCCATTTTTTTATTTTTCAGTGGCAGATTAAACCTTGTACAGATAGTTGATTATTTTCAATCATTTAATTATTAAGCTATAAATTTAGCTGTTTTATTATTGGAATATGCTTAATTGATCGTGGTATTAAACCATAAAATTATTTTATTTAATGCAAATAAACATGAAATGGTATAAGTATATACATATCACTGAGTTCAGCTAAAGAAGTATTTTGAAAGCAAAACCTGCAAATCGTAATGAATAAAATCAATAAAACGCTGATATAAAATATGCTGTATTAATTTTTTTCTCAAAAACTTTTTATTATAGAACTTTGAAAAACAACATCTTACTAACTTACTACCTCTGTCTGTTAGTAGAAGATAACTAAACTTATTGTAAACACTTAATTTAACAACGTAAATATAATATTGACCGTACAAGTTGGTAAAATAAAATTGACATCTTTTGATGAAAAACAAATGAAGGAGCAGTGAAAGTGAATGGAAAAAACAATGGAAATGAGTTGTCTTATTTATAAGGAAGGACAAAAGGCAATTCTGTCAAAGCGAACAGAATTTTCGTTTGACATCAATGCAAATTACAACAATATCGTCAATTTCTGAAAAAAAGTTAGATGACAAAGACTATTCCCGGTAATTTTAAGTTTAATTTGATTTTAGACAAAAATTAAATTTTATTGAAATAAAAATTTCCTCCAATATAACGTTATAAAAATATTTAAATAAAATGGGAATAAAGAAAAACAGTAAAAATAGCACTTGTGAACGTTGAAACCAATGCGGAAATTTTAAATTTTAAAGAAAAAGTACAAAGCAAATAAAAGACAATATCAAGTAATATATAATAGTATAATATAATAGAGCCATGCCATGATAACTTTATCTAGCAATCATGAAGAATAGAAACAAATAAATATATACTTCTCAACTTTGCAAACCAAAAAAACCGCAAGTACTCTCTGTAAGAAAACAAACAAATAAAAGTAAAAGTTATCCCTTACTTACAAAAGTGCTGACACACTTTCCAGATAAAAATATAGTCACAACTCAATCAAATCCTCCCGAGAGGGAGGTTTTCGTCAAATAATTTTGATTTCGCCAATAAATCCATGAAAAACTTCTCCGCCTGTATTTCATAATTGTCTTTTCCATTTTTTGTTTCTTTCCATTTGGAGACGTAGGGATTTCTCCCTTTAGCCCTTAAACTTTCGACGGACAAGGAATGCGGATTTACAGCGTAGTGTTTAAGTTTAAAACCGCTGACAACTTAACAGGAAGAGCTGAGAACAGCCGTCGGCCATGAAAAAGCCCAAAGAATGAAATATGAATCAGCGATAATCGTGACGAACATGATTTGTGTGTGTTTGTTAGTTCTTTTCCAACCGTCCGGGTCACATGGGAGTCCCATTCAAAGCTTAATTACAGCGATAAATTTCCACTTTTATTGTAATGCAACGTTAAATTATTCCACGAGTTGGAGATAATCTTGACGTGTTTAATTACACGGGAAGATTTTGTATTATGCTGTTACTCCCTACTAATCTAGAAACAATGCTTTTGTCCCCATTTAACTTGGACGTGTTCGACCAAACGTTGCGTATCTCTCACCTTTGCCCTTGTCCGGTGTAACTTATCCACCGTATTTTCATTTGTTTCAGATCCGTGCAGACAGACTTTTCAACAGAGTCGGGCTGCGTGGAGTTTGACCAAGAAAACAATAGCGATGACCTCTTTCGGGCTACCTTGTACATCAACACCCCTCGGACTCCTAGAGAACGAGAGTGAGTATAAATTATAAATTCGACTTTGTACATACATTCTTATACATGCTGTCTGTGTATATATATTTCTAACTAAATTGGTGGGATGTGCACATTAAACCCATGTTATAAACTTTACAAAACCCTTCGGGAAATATTTCAAAACTAGTGAAGTTTTAAATGTTTTTGTTTTTAATGAAACAATTAATCCAGTAAAATATTATCATTAATAATTTTAAGTTAAATAATTTAAATTCTTTACATCATTGCTAATATTGATTAATCCTTTATTAAACGATTGAACCTACAGTTTTTTCACTGTTTTGTTAAATTCTTAAATTGAAATGATCGACTATCAAAATTTAGGTCTCAGATGTCAATTTTAAATCAGCAAAGGCATCTGTTTCGTAAAAAATGATATAACTATGATGGTTTTTATTTTTTTGGCCAAATAGCCTATTTGGCCTTTATCTCTCCTAAGACTTAGTAGAATGCATAAAGTGAATTCTGATGATGGATGTCGGTCTGAGTGTCGGTGAAAAATGTTGAACCGGCACTGGGTCCGTCTAAACTCAATGGTTTTGTTGTCAGTCAAACGTGTTTCCGCCTTGGGCCATCATCACTGAGGAACTGTCGTTTTCGTTTTCCGTGACGGCACTTAGATGGTTATCTTAGTTCACTGCAACGGCCAACAAAATTGACTTATAAATATATAGAAAAAAGATTTTCGCACTCTGTCGTCCGGCAATAGCAAGGCTGACTTGGAGACAGAAAAACGGCTGAAAGCTGAATAAACGCAAGTACAGACGGACCAGCGGAGATAAGGGTTCTGTTTGTGAAGGTTTATAAATAAAATTGTTTTTACTTGATTATGTAGGACCCATTCATCGTATAAAAGGAAAGTTGGGGAAGCAGAAAAGCGCCGGAAAAGAGATTGGATGGATGGATTGATCAAAGATAATCATGGTTGGAAAAGTTTATAAATAAAATTGTTCGGTTTTTTCTCCACATTGTAGAGAGATTTGCCATTTTTAGACTTTTTATCGGGTAGCAGGAAGGGAGAAAAACGCCTGAAAGCAGACTGAAAGCAAGGACACCCGGACCAAAAATGTTACTAACGTTACTAAATCAAATAGTTCGTGTTTTGCTCGATATTGCAGAGCGATTTGCCGTTTTTATGCTCTTATCGGGTACCAGTAAAGCTTCCTGGAAGGCAGAAAAACCGCCTGAAACTTACTAAAAACGAACACAGACCGGACCAAAGATTATACGTTTCTGTTTGCGCAATTTTATAAATAAAATCGTTCTGTTTTTTGCTTGAATTTGAAGAGCGATTTGCTATTTTTTCACCGTTTCATTTCGAAAATCAAAGCATTCTGGGAGGCAGAAAAGCGGCTGAAACTGGCTAAAAAGCTCAAATTCAATTAATTGAGATTAAAACTAAATTCAGTTTAAACAGACAATACAAAAACAAAAACATAGCTATAATGTTAAAATCACACTTTATTGGGTCCCAGGACACGCAATAGTAGGTAGCTACTGTACCAAAGTATAATACTATAAGTACTATATAGTACTAGTAGTATACTATACTATATAGTATAGTAGTATAGTATAGTACTATAAGCTGTACCAACGAGTATCTTAGAAAACAAGATATAGTGAAATTCTACAAACAATTTAAAAACCTTGTGACGTGATTAGAAAAGAAATAAATAATTATAAGATACTAGGCATTTGGGACTGAATGGTAGCTTAAGAATACTACAGCACGGTTCTTGCAAATTCTACGAAAAGGCAGAAGAACCCCAACGCGCTCATTAACAAATTGTGATGCTGTACTTATCTACAGATGGGAAGGCTAGGCGTATAACGTAGAAGAAATTCAATCTCTAAAATCACGCCTAATAAACAGCTTTTTTAATGTATTGGGACTCATCTGTATGGTATAGGTACAGAACGGAGTATACAATAGCTCTCAAAGGGCGGTGTGTGCCAAAGTACCTTGAATTTTACATGTACACCTGCAACAAAAATTGACTCCTGGACATTTTTGTTGATTAGTAGGATAGGGGGAAATGATAAGTTAAATAAATAGATTTTTTACAGTTACTAACAGTCTGTAAGATGAGTGTTATCTAATAAGCTATGTATTATTTGAGCATGTTCAGCGGGAAAACTCTCTATAATCCAGAAATAGCCATTCATAATAAATTGAAGTGAGATCGTCGCTCGACTGAATCTTGAACTTCTTTCAAGTCCCAACTCTTTCATGTCTCACTTGCGCAATGAAATTTTAAATAACTCCCATAAAGATTCCGCGTTATATTAGATTGGTAACTCTATTTCAAGTTTCAGATGCATAAACTAAGTCAATCCCTCCTCAGTCTATTTACTTACCTTCACATTTGGATGTAAATTACATGAAAATACCGTGCCTGTCGAAGGCCATTAGGGATAATGAAAGATGGAGAGGGTTTAACGAAAAACAATTTGTCATACTTCGGCCATATTTTACTGGAATAAACTTTACAATGTAAGGGAAAATATCATTTTATACATTTTTTGATTTATTTCAGATATTCTCGAACACCGCCGCTGGGGCGCGGAGGAGGGGGCGGCGATAGCGGAGAGAGGAGACTTGGTGACGGTGTTCCTCTTTCTGCATCTCCGGCCCCTCTCAGCCTTTGCTGTAGCAGTCGAAGGTCTCTTCCGCCCCAGCCGACCCAGCAGCCAGTTAACAGCCACCACCTTCAACATCCTCCTACGATATGGTGAGTAGTAGAGTCTGTAGATACCTTTATGACAAATAAGAAGTAGATTATACAAATTTATGCACAAACAATACATATTCCGATAAAATATGTACCTACAATCTCTTCAAACACAAGCTGAACTAAAGAAAATAACGACATTAAACGGACTGATTTTTTTAATCACAGTTGTGTATAATATAAAGAACCTCGTTACCCTTGCATTATTTCCCATGTAGAATATAATTAGCCACAATTTTATTTAAAATTGACCGGCGACACTTGTCCAGACCGGACAGTAATTTACTTCAAACTCAGAATCGCCCGTGCGTGTGTAATGGGAGCCCTGTGCACGAAGGAAACACGTGTCTTCTATTGGAAAAGTAATTTTCCTTCCGGCGGCGTGACGGACTCGTGATAAACCCCGGCATCCACGCACATTCATTAAGGACAAAAGGACGAAGGCTGGCCCAAACCCCCGCCCACCTTTCAACCAACTTCATCACTAACACATCATTCAAATAGGCTCTCAAACTAGAAAATTCCGGAAAGTTTTCAAAACATTCCCCGTAAATCTAGTTGAACATAAAACTAATATACCCTTTCCGACAATAATATATATTATCCTTTTATGAACAAATAAATCAACTTGCAAAATGCAAATCTCCAGATTTTATTTTTGAAAACATTACGACTTGCAATCACTGGTTAACTGTTAATAATCACAAACTACGATAACCTCGATAACTTTTATTTTTGTATTTTTGCTGTCAGCCACTGCCATAAGAGCCAAATTTAAATACTCAATTGAACTATTTTCCTCTGAAGTTACGACAAAGTTCGTCAGGTGCTTACACCTCAAATGCAACAAAAAAGTTCGTATGAACCATGGTCCGATTCTCAACTTTTTTGCAGATATTCATCAACACTATGTTTTTTCCAACTATACAAGGATTTTTTCATAAATCTACTCATAGCTCTTGAATTATTAATTTTTAGGTAAATCCAAAAAAAAGCATTGAAAATAGAGTTAAATTTCCCTTAAGAAAACAACCTTTCAGAACTTTCAATTAAATTTTTGGTAACAAACGACTACATCTTTCTAAATCTTTCAGAAACTGCTAAATATAAAATTTGAAACAAAAACTAAATTTACAACCTCATTGGAAAAATTCAACGTAGAGCTTGGACAATTTGAAAACTTCTTCGCTTAATAAGTTTTCTGGCGGTATTCCTTTTTCTTTAATTACATCGAAACAAAATGCAGAATTTTTTTTTATTAAATGGGAAAGAATTGGTGACGGTGTGAAAAGAAAGAGTGGAGTTAATCTAGTAATTCAACTTTTTGTCCTGGCCAAAATGTAGTTCCCCCCCTCAAAAAAAAGTAAAGAGAAATAATAAACATAGCAAACAACCAAAATAATAAAAATTGGACAAAATATATACGCTAAACACACAAAAAAGAACAACAATACCAAAGTTGTAAAACCCAACTTTAACCTCCCGCCGCCAAAACAAAATTAACTTAAAAATCAAACAAAACAGATAGAAAATACATAATAAAAATAGTGAACAATGACGTTGAAATTTTCTTTTTTTTCGTGCTATTATATATTATAATATACTATGCTAATATATTAATATTAGGTTAAAGTTGGGTCTAAAATCAATTTTTTCGTTTGCACCCAATGTCTTTATTAACCATCACGTTGTTCTATTTGTTGTTATTAAGTATGAATATAGTATTTTTTATCTCAACCGAAAACCTTACATAAAAAAGAATAATGAATTGAAAGAAGTAACTTGGTCGATTGACCACTAAAACATAATTTGATTAATAGTTAAATAAGTATAAATATTAAATCGTATCAATAGCTACTCGACCTACCATTCGAAAACGTTCCACAAGGCAGCATCTTAGGTCCCATTCTCTATTGCGTATGTATTGCTACCAAACTTTATACAGTACCCCTCTGTATTACGTTATATTTATTATTGTACAGTAGTCACATATGAAGACGATACTGGAATCCTCTCAGGAAACCAGACCCCGAGTTTCAGAAACAACAAGGACCCTGTAAAACAAAAAACTTCAAGAAAAGGACGATCAGACATAGTAAAATAAATCCCATGACCTTCCCTAAAAATAATATGCTAAATTTATCTTTTTTATTTTTCTTATTATCTATATTCTTTATTTATATATTATTTTTCTTTTTATTTATCTAATATAACAATAAATTACAAAATTACAAAACAAAGTATGTATAATTTCTGTAGACTATGAAGTACAATTGAACCAATTGATTTAAAATTCATACTTTTTTCACTTATTAACCTTAAGACAAACATAAAGTTTTATATGTTCATTCTCCTGTTTTGTATATTTTAAATAAGTATAATTACCAAGCATAGCAAATGGAGGATCAGGTCTTCTTGGACCAATCCTCCTCTTTGGAAGAATGGTTGAAAAAATTTAAGACCAAACTCAACGAAACTGAATTCCAGCTAATGCCCTTTACTCATCGCCGAATCTCATCCAATATACTACAACTCATTCCCACTTCCAGCAACGCTATTTGGGACTTTACGTCGACTGAAAATTTACTTGAAACCCAGAGAACTCTCATTATAGAAAAAAAAACCTCATCGGCATATTACTACAATCAATTTGAACGGACGGAATTGAACCAGTGGGGGCTCATCCAAGAGTTCCATCTTCCAAAGAATCCAGTCACTCCAGTACGAAACGCTTCGAACCACTGCCCAAACTCTCCAATTCATATCTCACCTTTTCATCCGCACAGATTTTAAATCCCATTTGTTTCCGAATTCGCAAAAAGTAGGTCACATTTCCATAAAACCTTGGACCAAAATCTCAACCCTTTAACCCCGAACCTTTCTCGACAAGCCTGCAAGGTGCCTAAAGCGCCAATGTCCCTGCGGTTTTCCCCCTAGTGAAGATAGTGAATTTCTTTATGCTAGACGTGTAACTAATGCTCCACTCTTGTAAAATAAAATTCAATAAAACGAGCGGAGTTCCTTTTAATGCTCTAGCGCTGTTGTGGCACAATTTTATTTTTTATAAATCTACAATAATAATATAATTTTCTAATTTTTTATTATTAAGAATAAACATTGATTCGTATCATTTTTTAACCTTACTGAAGTAGGTTAGGTTATGAGCTGCTGCAAAAATATGCATTTCCTGTTACCATAAATTAAATGTTAGCATTATTATTATATGGCATCTTGGTATTGTTTAAATTTTATGTCGAAGTTATTCGTTTCTAATTCTATTTTATTTAAATATCTTACTATAAATATATGCAAAACTAATGATAAAAGGAATTCATATTTTTCAACAATATTTTTACTTAAAAGAAAACATTATAACAACTATTGCAATCATATGATTGTCTCCTCACAACAGTAAATAATATCTATTTGTTTGCAAATATCTTATACAGGGTGAGTTTAACTTCTATTTCCCCTGTATTTTTGTACAAATTAAATCAGCTAAAATGGTAAATAAATAGTTTTTTGTTAAAAAAATTTCGTTTTTTCGAAAAACACTGTTCGGAAATAGTTTTTTTTGTGTATAACATAACAATAGTTGGATCAAATTAAAAACCGTTTGCGCCGTTGATTTAAAAAAAAATGAGTATCTTGCGATTTCAGATAGTTAAGCCCCTTTGTATCCCGCTATCTTGGAGAGGTAGATCGAAACTTATAGTTCATGAGGAACTAAATAAAACAATTAAAAGTTTACGTGTCTCGGGTTTTTCCCCAAAAACGCCCCAATAAAAAAATGGAGGGCAGAAATTAACTGACCCTGTATATGAGCATTGTGTATAGTACTATGTATATCTGTACTGTGTATATCTACTGATTTGAAAAATTTATTACACTATGTCAGACTTGGTATTTTCTCCAGCGTCTTCCAGTTTTACTTAAAACACGATTTACTTGAACTCAGTCTGATAAAAACCTGGTCTGGCGCTGTGAGCGGGACTTGATATATGTCGGTCGCCCTGTATGGATTAAAGCAATAATTCTTCGTGTTGTAGTCCATTGGAAAAACAAAAAATAACAACTCTCGTTTAAGTGTAAAAAATAAGGAAAAATAGAGAAAAGGAGTAAAATTCTATTCTAAAGTTGTGCATTAAACAGTTTGTGCGGTTAATAGATAAATAAAAGAAGAATATTCCATCTCTTTTTCTCTTCCTGTATATCTTATGTAATATGTCATTATTTTATAAATATGTTTGTATAACATTCATACTATTAGAAACGGTAGACATCGATGGCATGTTTGAGAAGAGAAATATTAGTTATGATTTTATTTAATCATAGTGAGCTCAGACCAGATACCCGGATGCAAAGATATTGGGAGGAAAAATCCCTCAAATCTGTACTACCCCAAATAAGGTAGATAGCCTTATTGCGTTGAAAACTCTCAAGAAAATGTAATACAGATACTCAGGCTTTTCCATCTTGCCGGTGCTTTTACGTGATCAAAAATCAAACAGCCGAGCGTAACGCAACCCTTTGCCGCAAGTAACTCCTTTTTACGAATCTTTCAAAACAATATTTTCACATTTCGAAGCTCGACTTAAATTTTGTTGAAATGCAGAGACACATACATTTCATAAAGGGAAATTAATTCATTCATAAACAAATGATAGTAGCTAAATGATTTTTTTAACTGACGATTCTATTCAAAATTTTACACAGTAATTAATTTTTATCAGTGTTAGTGAATATCGTCTAACATGACAAAAATTTTCAAAAAAGCGAGTTACAGTTAAGGTACAACTGGAATTGGCGAGGATGACGAGGCTGTGCTTATTTATTAAAACACTGGTTGCTATAGAGACCAAAAAAGCTCATATTAATTGATATATTGATGATCTGAAAACTGAACAATGACAAGCTTTTTGAGCTTAACTCTCTGGACTCTCGTGTACATTTCATAGGCAAAACATGCAAATTATAAACAAACAATACAGCACTCATTC